CTTCTTTCAATTTACTTCTCCAACAATCGTTTCTCTTTTTTTAAAGTTTCCTTTAAGTTAACTTGGCAGCTTGTTTAAGCTGTAGCACAATGCCTTATCCCTCCCATTCATGAAGGCCTATCTCTTGAATGGCCTATAGCAATGGCCTTTTTGCTAAGTCTGCATGTGCCTTATACTCATTTGATAACTGGTCATTGAAGAAGCAGTGTGCAGACTATCTCTCCAATCACAAGTAGTCTGGCCTTTTTTTGCTAGTGTCATTTACACTTTGTGAAAGCTTAGCTCGTTTCAATATTAATAGTAATCAAGCGTTATCTTGGTACCTCGTCAATCCATGCATGTTTGTAAGCGATTTTCAGGTAGCAATATGTTGTCAAGGTATTCAGGTCTCGATCAAATGCATATCGGTGAACATCATCAATTGGTACAAAGTAGCGGTGCTGGTAGTGGTGGTTAATGATAGTAGTAGTAGTAGTAGTAACGGTGGTAGTGGTGGTGGTGGTGGTGGTGGTGGTGGTGGTGGTGGTGGTGGTAGTGGTGGTAGTGGTAGTGGTGGAAGTAGTGGAGGTGGTAGTAATAATCTATAAATGATCGTTAATGGGCAGTTAGCTGGTTTAGGGATAGCATCGATGACAAATCCATTAAATTGTTACACTACCACAGGTGTACCGGCTATCAATAATCCATTGCTCAATATCACAGGCAATGGTAAATTGGGACATTCTGGTACAACTGGAATAAATTATGATGGACTGTTGAAAAACTATCAGACATCTGGTATATTACATGAGGTTCATTTTTATATCAAATCGATCGATATTTCAAAACGTTTCTTTTGCGGTTTTTAATATTTATTAAATTAAATAAGTCCTGATTTTCAATTTTGTTCATGCCATAATTTGTGCTTCTCTTTCAATGATACATTGAGATTTCAATTGGATATATTGGGAAAATTTCCGAAAAGAAAATTATCAATGACTATTTTTCCTTTCCTATGTTTTGCAGTTGAAATTGATCATCTCAACATCAACTTTATCATTTGGCATTTTTTTTTTCAAATTTCATTAACACGTAACATATATGAGCTGAAATTACTAGTAAGTAACATCAGTTTACGGATATATCCCCAGCAGTGACCATAACTTTTCATCACTCTGCTTTTATACTATTCGTTTGCATTTTTAAGTATTACTGTAAATTTTATCACGAATTATCAGTACAATTTCGCTTCACCTTCAGCAACATTTACTCGGCAAATTTTTTATATCAGTGAATGACATGTATTTTATACATTTAGCATTAATTTTTTACATTTTTAATAATGCTTTTAATCTAGCCTTATGATCTGATGAATATAGGCCATTGGATTTTGGAAGTGAGGAGTTTTGTTTTTTCCTTTAGGTTTGAGTCCTGTTAGGCTCGTAATGATTTTCCTTTTCCTCGTTTAAATGGTGTTTTCCAAATTTGTTTATACACTTCATGCTTTTTTTTTTTTTTGCATAGCAGTTACTCTTATTTCTTGCTCGATTATATTCAAATGTCGATTTTGTTTTAATGATTTCATTAAATATTTTAATGTTACGATTAAATTTAATCTGAAAAGAAAGTGTCGTAAATTGAACTTGAAATGAAATCAAATTAATAACATATATGTGGAATGAAAGAATGCCTCAAAACTTATCGATAATCATATCATATCATATACAAGACAAATAAAAATAAACACATAATGTGATAGTTATTTCCTTGTCATAATTTGTTATTTTAATTATGTTAAAATCTTTCATTTATAATTTCAAATTTCTTTTTATTCCTTTAAAAGTCATCATTATTAGAAGTAATTTAGCAATGGAAAACGCCAAATCAATACTATATCTTTCATCCACATGCGTTGCGTCGTGATCTAACAAGTACGGAGGAGAAACCGAGTGTTCTCGAGATGGAACACAATTATCTTCTCAAACATCGTGTACCACCATGGACGTTAACATCACAGAATTCTAGAAATAGGTGAAACTATTCGTTCATTTTTTCATCTCTTTGAAAAAGAAAATTTTTTCAAATTCAGAAGTTGAAATGCAGCAAGTTTCTTGCAAACTGCTGCTAGTACTACTACTGCTACTACGGTTACTAGAGAAGGACAGAGTATTGTTAAAGGAGTGGACAGAGTATTGTTGAAGGGGTGGGCAGAGTGTTATTGAAGGAATGGACAGAGTGCAGAATGTACGCATTTGCATGCTTAGACTTGTGGAGAGATTAGCTAATATATAGTAAATGAAATTTCCTCTTTTTATATCACAAACATGGTAGTGTGTATTGAAAATATTCGGTCCAGTTCGGGCATGTACAATATATGAAATAAAATAAAAAGTGGGAAATGAGAAGAAGAGAAAGAGAGATGGAGAAAAACGAAGGAGAAAGGAAAAAGGAATTATTGATATTTGAAACAATCGAGAAAAAAAAAGATAGAGAGAAAGGGACATGTATTTGTGTTAAAAAAGTTCTTGAAGAAAAAACAAAAAGGGATGATAGAAGTAGAGCCTGATTCGATGCATATGTAATTTTATTGCTCTCTAAGTTCCATTTATTATAAAGCCTTTCTTATTCACGCCTTGTTCTCTTCGAAAGAAGCAAACAGAGGAAGACATGCCTTAAAAAAAAAAAAACTCAATAAAATATTTTAATTCCTACTATTATATTTGCGATAATTTCTTTCATGTTCTACATCTCTGTTTAATTCCCTTAAATCAATTAAACTTTCCGCTTTATTAGTTTATCTTTCAATGCAATCAATTTAATATTTGTGTTTTAAAAGTTCTTAAAAAAAAAGAAAGGATGATAGAAGTAAAGCTCGGTTCAATACATATGTAATTTTATTGCTCACTGAGCTTCATTTATTATGATTAACATTAAATTTATTACGATTACCATTTAATTTACTATGTTTACCATTTAATTACCATTAAAAAGGATTTCAATTTTATTGAATTAAAATTTGTTGTAATAAAACTTTTATAAAAAGTCTTTCTTTTTTTTTCCAGATTTGAATATTATTTGCGAAATCGTAGCGATGATCGTTCGGGACGCTCATTAGCAAATTTTCCTACTCGAACAGGAAATTTCTTACCAGCTTCGGTTGCACGAGTGCGTACGGAGGAGTTATGTAGCACAAGGAGTGAACCGGATCTTCGACCTATGGCACTTGATGATTTCTCTTGCAGGTTATCATTATTTTCCTTTTTTACCC